GTTTATGGGAAGAGGAATCGTCTGAGCATTTATTCTTTAACTGTAGATTGGCTGACGTTTGTTGAGAGGTGTCTGGGCTTGGTTTTATTCGAGATGAGTTCACGTCTGCCTCAGTCAAAGTTTTCTGGCGGCGGTTTCTTGACCATCTGACAGACCATTGACTACACATGTTTTTACCCCTATTCTTGAGCCGTTTGAGATGTCGATTCCCGTATTTTAGGTCGATTTCACCCTAGGTTGTTCTTGTTTGTGATATTTCAGGTCCTAGCACGTGAATGAAGGCTTGGGAACGAGTTCCGGGTCGATTGGACGAAGATTGGACGTTTGGCGAGAATCTGAGGAAGCCACACGGGCACGCCTAAAATCCCACACGGTCGTGTGACGTGGCCGTGTGGCACCATTTTACACGGACAAGCCACACTGGCCGTGTAGGGGACCCGTTGTGGCCGTGTGAAGGCTCGGTAATTCCCACACGGGCAGCCTGGGAATCCACACGGCCGTGTGGCCTTGGCCGTGCAGCATGCCTGGAAGCCCACTAATCGAAACGCCGCTTTTGAACACTCACACGGGCAGCTGGGAAAGTCACACGGCCGTGTGGCCTGGCCGTGTGATCGGGAATTTCTGGGTTTTAACCCAATTTCGAGCCAAAGGAGAGGGAGAGCTGGGTTTTGGATCCCAAACACCCAAGGGACGAACCAAAGAGAGAGAGGGCGATTTGAGGGCATTCTTGGAGTGGAATTGGAGGATTTCTTCGCCTTGGAAACTCGAGGAACAAGCCTGGACTTGAAGACTGATCATCTGAAGATTCTTACTGCAGTCTCTCTCTTCTCTATGGAGTAACTTCCCTTCACTTAGGTTTTGAGGAACCCTAGCCATGTTTTTTTATTGGATGATTGTATGAGTACTCCTACTTGATAATCTTGAGTTCATATTCAATCTATGCATGTTTTCATGATTCAATTCTGCTTTAGTCGAGATTATTGATTCTGCTTTGATCCTATGAGAGCGAATAACTGGTTAGGTCAATAGAGCACCCTAGATTAATAGTATTGGATCGATTGCTTTAGTCGAGGGTCGATTCCCTGCTTTGTATCGATTGAGAACATATTTCGATAGAGGGAGTCTAGTTTAGAATGCTTTGATCGGTTGTTCTATAGAAGGATACGTCCCTCTAGGCAATTGACTCAAGAGGGCCTTGATCCTTTAGTCGAGATTCAAGGTTTAGTCAAGGATTCTCCGCATTGTGAATGAAAGTGAAACAAGTTAGAGATCATCAATCATTAATCTGGCTAGTGGCTAGGGGGAATCATACCTAAGTGAGTTCCCAACCTGTAATTAGATTAACTTTAACTGTAGTTTGTTATAGTAGTTTTAGTTCTTCCATCTTAATCTGGTTTGCTAGATAATGAACTGAAGCTGAGTAATAGTAACTCTAGAGACCCGTGGATTCGATATTTATTACTTGAGCCACTATACTGCAGTCCCTTTCATTGGTTACACTTGGCCATTGTTAGGAGTTGTGTCATAGCGAGTCACCATCCAAACTTGGATGGGGGGCTGCTTATGCGGGTAATCGCTCTCTTCTGGCATATATGGAAGGCTCGGAATTGGGTTATCTTTGACTCCACGCTATTCACGCCCTATGTGTTGCTCTCTCATTTCTATAGACAGGTAGCGGAGTGGGAGGCGGTGCCTTCGGGCAGTGGATCTACGTCTTTCCCTACTCTTGGGGATGGGCTGAGGGGGGACCGGGTTGGGGTACAAGATAGGGAGGGGGCGGTATGGGTATTCACGGATGGGGCCGTTAGTTCCGGTTCCCATGGTGCAGGTGGCAGGGTTGTGGAGGACGCCTCAGGAACGCTGCTTGGTGTTGATGCTTCTTTGTACCCAGATGTGCAAGACCCTTTCTTGGTGGAGCTTCTAGCCTTGAGGGATGGGATCCGGTGGCCGCTTGAGATGGGCGTGCAAGATGTCATTTCACCGGAGATGCTCAGGTGGTGATGGACAAGGTTAAGGAGGACTCGTGTTTGGATGCTCGTGGTGGGGCAATCTTGTGCGAGATTAAGTTGACGAGACAATGTTTCCACCAGTTTAGTGTTTGTTTTGTTGGTCGTGCTCGTAATAGGGTGGCTCATATGGTGGCCAAAAAAGTCCTTTCATTGTTCCCTAGTTTGATAGGGTTCGATTTTCGTTGCTGGCTCTGGTCGGCCAGCTGACTCTAATGTATCTTGGTCATCTCGTTCAATACGAAATATCTTTTGGCAAAGAAAAAAAACACTGATGATATAGGGAACCTACCATCAACCCGATTCAGCTCAATTAATTATCCATCCATTTTAAGTCGGCCAGTTGAAAATTGATACGATCGGCTAACCACTTCAATTCTATGAACCCAGGCCAACACTTTTAAGTATCCAGCCGCCTGTTTAAGAAATTGGGGATGCTGGGATTCAAACTCATGCCCTCCTACTAACAACACAATTTACTTTCCAATTGGATAATCTCGTCATTTTTTGTCAATATGCTAACTAATTTTATTATCATGGAGAAGATGACAGTGTACTTAGGTTAAAATGCTTTCTATTTTCAAAAAGAACCAACACACAAGTTAAACTTGAAAGTTTTGTACAAATACATTATTAATTGAACCATTATTTTATCTTGGAGAACATTATCTTTTTTACTTTAGAAATTTCAGTACTCATCTTTGATTTATGACTAATGTATTTCATTATGAATCCATGACTTATTGTGTTATTATGCGCATTCTACTTATATTTTTTATTGATAAAACACCATTTCGTTAAAGATTTAATACCGATCGAACCATTTTAGTGTGAACCACTCGCTACATTAGTTCATACTCCAACTCACTTATGGTAACATTGGTTGGATCAACTTATGATCTACCAGTGTCTCTATTTTCTTTCCGGTTTATCTTGTATCATGTTGTTCCCCCCTTGGGGGTTGGGGCAGTGGGTGTCCAGGATAGATATCTGGGTCTTCCTTCGTTAGTTGCCCGCTCTAAAACGGCTACTTTCCGATACCTGGAAGAGAAGTTATTGGAACGACTCAAAGGCTGGAAACAAAGGACATTATCTTGGGCAGCTAAGGAGACGTTAATTAAATCAATTGATCTAGCTCTGCCATTGCATGTGATGTCTTGTTTCCGGTTGCCTGTCTCGCTTTGTCGTCTGTTGGATTAGCACGTGGCCCGGTTCTGGTGGGGTTCTGACGCAGAGCATTCGAAGGTACGGTGGATGTCCTGGCGCAATATGTGCAGGAGCAAGCACGAGGGAGGGATGGGTTTTCGCCGGTTTGAGCAGTTTAATCAGGCTCTCTTGGCTAAAATTGGGTGGCGTATCCTTTCTGATCCTCAGTCTCTTCTGGCCCAGGTTTATAAGGGGAAATACTTCCCTAATGGATCCTTCCTTAAAGCGCAGGCCCGATCTCGACCGTCGTGGGGTTGGCAGAGCATCCTCTTTGGTCGCCAGTTACTGGAGAAGGGATTGCGTTGGCAAATCGAAAATGGACGGTCTGCGTCCTTACTCCATTCCAACTGGATACCTAAGTACCAGCTTGATCCCCCTCGGTGTAATCCTCGGATCTTACCAGAAGGGGGGGGGGGATCCCCCAGTGGCTGAGGTTATTTGTCAAGGGGAGGGGCGTTGGTGTGATCTTAAACTTAGTCAATGGTTCGATCTGCCTACTTGCCAGGCCATCAAATCAATTCCACTCCCTCGGCAGAATGTGGAGGATAGGCTCATATGGCATAACACCCCAGACGGGATCTTCTTGGTCAAATCGGCTTATCATTTAGCTGTCTCCCTTGATGAACGGGGGGGGGGGGGATCATTGGAAGTCTATGGCTAGCTGGATGGACAAATCCAGCTGGGTTCGTGTGTGGGAGGCCGATATCCCCCCAAACTGAAAGTCTTTGTCTGGCAGATCCTTAATCGTGCTCTTCCAACTACTGAGGCCCTTATCGAGAAGAGAATCCCTGTGCATCCCAGATGTCCGGTATGCTAGGATAGTCCTGAGACAATGGAGCACCTGTTTCTTTATTGCCCGGTTGCGCGTGCACTGTGGGACCTCTCGGGGTTAGAGTACGTAGGGGAGGGGTTGCCTCGGCATACCTTTCCATTATTCCTTAAGAAGGTGTTTGCGCGGATTCATCAACCACCTTTGTTCGTGTTGGTGGTTGCAGTCCTATGGAGGATCTGGCGATCTCGTAACTGGGTTGTCTTTGAAGGCAAGCAGTTTGGGACCCTGACTTGATGCGTCAGTTGAATCAGCAATACGATGAATGGGTACGATTGCCAAGGGAGCAGGCGACTCTGCGGCCGCTTCCAGTAACGCAAAGTCCGACTACTGGGGACCCCCATCCGGTGGTTTGTATGTGGGATGGGGCGGTCCGGTGTGGGTCTCATTCAGCTGGAGGGATGATGCTCTTGACTCCGGCCCGGACCATCTTATTTGCTAGAGGGGTTCAATTCCCGGTCCAGGATGATCCTATGGTGGTAGAGCTGCTTGTCCTGCGAGAGGCCATTGTCTGGTGTCTGGATAACGGTTTCACATAGGTCAGTTTTGAGGGCGATGCTAAAGTGGTAATTGACAAGATTAACCAGGCTGACTTCAGAGACAATTGGATGGGAGCGGTGCTTGAAGAAATTGCGCATTATTTCGGTACCCATCCGGGGTTTGCTATTCGGTTTGTAGGTCGGCGTAATAATAGGGTAGCCCATGCTGTGGCTAGAAAAGCCATTTCTTTGTACCCAACCACGAGTAGCTACTTTGATTTCCAGACCTGACTGAATTCCAGATGTAATTGTCTATTTGATTGAATCAATATATGATTATTTTTTGTCAAAAAAATCAAGTTGTTCCCCTCCAAATACCTCTGTAGAAGGGGAAAAAAAGTTCCTTAAAGAAGAAAAAATAAAATAAAGAAACATATGTCCATGAGATCATGGATAAACCCCAAACCATTTCAAGCACATCTGATCCGATCTGCCACATGTCGCACCTGATGATTCCCCCCATTAATCATATCAAGAAAATATCAGACTTTCTTGGTGGCCCTTATATTCTCCTTCCCCTCTCTCTCCTTCCAGCCTTCCTCCCACTTAACCCCTTCAAAGTCCACTCTTCCGCTCTCGCTAAACAGCAGTACAGCACCGGAAAAAGAAAACCAGAAGGAAAAAAAAAAAAAAAAAAAATTCCCAAGAAAGACATGGGATCCATCCGGCAAGCTCACAACGTCAAAGTCCTCGGCGCCGGCGACCAAGTCATCGTCCTAGCTCACGGCTTCGGCACCGACCAATCCGTCTGGAAGCACCTCGTCCCCCACTTGGTTGACGAGTTCAAGGTCATCGTCTACGACAACATGGGCGCCGGCACCACCAACCCGGACTACTTCGACTTCAACCGCTACTCCGGCCTCGAAGGCTACGCCTACGACCTCCTCGCCATTCTCGAGGATCTCCAGGTCGAGAGCTGCATCTTCGTCGGCCACTCCGTCTCCGCCATGATCGGCGTCATCGCCTCCATCAGCCGCCCTGAGCTCTTCCTCAAACTCATCCTCCTCGCCGGCTCCCCCAGGTCTCAATTCATTCTTTCATTCAATTATTGAATCTTCAGATTAGGGTTGCCCGTACAAAAAATCCCCAATTTCAGGGAATTTGAAATTCTTAATAAATTCTAGGTATTTGAACGATGTGGAGTACTACGGGGGATTCGAGCAAGACGACCTGGACCAGCTCTTCCAGGCGATTCAGTCCAATTACAAGTCCTGGTGCGCCGGATTCGCTCCCTTGATTGTCGGCGGCGACATGGAGTCGGTGGCGGTACAGGAATTCAGCCGGACGCTGTTCAACATGCGGCCCGATATAGCCCTCAGCGTGGCCCAGATCATCTTCCAGAGCGACATGAGGAGTATTCTCCACATGGCTACCGTCCCCTGCCACATACTCCAGAGCACCAAGGACCTCGCGGTGCCGGTGGCGGTGTCGGAGTACCTGAACCAGCACCTGGGCGGGGAGTCCATCGTGGAGATCATGCCGTCCGACGGTCACCTGCCGCAGCTGAGCTCGCCGGACGTAGTGATCCCGGTGCTGCTCCGGCACATTCGCTGTGATATTACTCGTCAGTGAGATACCGGGTTTGGGGAGCGAATTTGTGGGTGTAGTGTTCTCTTGATCTGTGGGTGTGTTTTTAGCTTTTTCTAGTTGCGCGCTGTAATTGCAGTTTGGTGTGCTGGATTTCCGGTTGTGTATTCTGGTTTGTGTTCAAGAAGAACTGTTGATAATTAGGATGTGCGTCGGTGGTAGGAAATTGTGGAAAGGAGTAAGGACAACATAATAATAATTATTATTAATTAAAAGAAGAAGAGTTCTGGCGGTTGGTGGATGGCATCGTCACCGTCCGCCGCCGGTTCCGTTGGGAAATGTGTTAAGGGCAGTCACCGTCCGCCGCCGGTTCTTCGTTGGAAATGTGTCGAGGGCACTGAAGTGGAGCTGTAGAGGGCATTTAATATAGTGGTGGCCTAGACACAGCCACTTGCAACCAATCTAGCGTCCATGGCCCAATGGAGTTCCACGTGATGTCTACTTTGCATAAGTGGACAAAACAAATATCAAGGCAATGTTTGGATTTTGCACCAGGCTGGTCTTTTTTTTCTTTGGCATACGATTTTATTCGACTTTAATGATTTTAACGGGGCAGGAAGAGGATAGGGGTAGTAATTGGTTAGTTGGTTAACGGTTTAATCTAGGAGTGAGCATTGTGTGGTTGAATTTACAAATCCATCCAAAATCACCCCACAATCCACCCATCTAATATCATGTGGATGGTTATCATGGGTGGGTGTGTGTTATAAAATAGGCGACCCACTAGAGATTGAGTGGGTGCGGGTGGACTGTGGTTGACTCACAACCCACCCAATTGAGTTTCTTGCTTTGTTATTTCTTAGGAGTAGTTGTAAGGTAAATTGGGATTGATCTCGCCATCAAGGAGGTCCTCTACTTGAGAGCATTCGAGAAACGTATCCAATGGTTCTCGTGCGTGGGTTTTTCGAGAAACCTACGTAACAGAGTCCCATCTTGCACAGTCGATAACTCATAGTAAAACTAAGAAGCCAGATTGTCTAGAACATGATTTGTAGTTCATCGACATGGTCACGCTCTTTTGGGCTCTGGCTAGATCGTAAGTTACTTTTGAGTGGTCTTTGTTTAGCGACAAGCAAAAATTAAGGTGTGGGGTAGTTTGATGACACTTGAAAAGTAATGTTTTATCGTACCCTTCTCTTAGTGCGTCTTTATTCGTTTTAGATAACCATTTCAATAGATTTTTTTTTACCTTTCCAGACTTGAGAACTCCCAATTGCTCACTTTTACAACTCTATCTATTCGTCGAGCAAAGGAAGGAGAAATGGGAGGATGACTAACCTAACTTGCCACCAAACCAGCCATAATTGTTGTTCATGGTTTTAACCTTCCCCTTGCGGTTATGTATTTCACTTCCTATGCCATTAATCGGAGCATCTGATGCAACAATGTGCAAAATCTTCCTAGCAACACTCCGTGGAGATGCCCGATGATGGTACTCCAAGTTACAAGATGGTATTATCTCCAGCTTCTTCGAATTTGCCACTCTCTTCAGATGCAAATTCTACGCAAAAAAAAAAAAAAAAATCCTATCAGCATCCATCAACTCCTCAGCATAAGGCAGCGTGATGATGAGACACTCAAGGCATACTATACTAGATATAGTAACATCGCCATCGGACTTACATCCATCTCCACGGAGATTGCCACCAATGCCTTGATGCGAGGGACTATCAACACTGATATATATGCTTCTCTTGCAAAACGGGCTCCCCACGACACTATGGAACTTCAAGAACGAGTTTCAAAATATATTGATCTAGAAGAGGCACTTCAGGAGGTTAGTCGGCCAGGATCCAAAAGAAAACTAGAGACTTCATCCCAGGATTCTCGCCGACAACGTCAAGTTCCTGCACCCGAAGATTATGTTCACGTTCGTTTTGATACTACGAGATCTTAAAAGGCAAAACTCCCAATATATAATGTTTCACCTTTTGGTTGCAAGTGCTTCATACTAAACACTAAATACTCTATTGGCAAGATTGATGCCTAGTTTGATGTTGGAATTTTTCTAGGATATTCTAACAAAGTTCAAGCTTTTCAAGTTATAAATAAGCAATTTCGAAAAGTAGAAGATTCTGTTCACGTTCTTTTCGATACTACTGATCACATTTGTCCTTTGAATTAAGACGTAGAAAATTATGTCTCCCTACCTTTTCTTACACTCGACGAACCATCCAACACAAGAGTAGGCATGGCAACGGGGCGGATCGGGGGCGGGTACCTACCTCCTGATCCCCGCCCGTCTACGTCCGCGTAGGTTGATCGGGGGGATTTTGTCTACCGTCCCCGTGAGAAGACGGATCCGAGTAACCCACGGATAGGGGTGGGATTCGGTTTTTCGGTAAACGGTTTACCGTTTTACCGAACCGTTTACCAACGGTAAACGGTAAACCATTTACCGACGGTATCGGCGACCGAGCGTGGGCTGGGGTGTATCGGTTTACCGAATCCGGTATCGGTATTTACCGACGGTAAATCGGTAAACCGTTTACCGAACCCAAAATGACGTCGTTTCATTTTTCCCCCAAATCTATACCCTAATTCCTAAAACCTAGCTGCCAGCCCGCCCTTCTCTTCTCTTCTTCGTTCACGCAGAGACTGAGAGACCAGAGAGCCGCCTCTTTTCTTCTTCTCGTATTCGCCGGCCGCTCCTTCTGCTGACGACGGCGACGAGCAGCGCAGCGATTCCCACGGGCCACGACGGCGACGACGGACTGGCCGCAACGCCACCTTCCCGCTTCCCTCGCCGACTGGCCGCAACGCCACTTTCCCGCTCCCGCTCCGCCACCTTCCCAGCTCCGCCACCTTCCCGCTTCCCCACCGACGACGGCGACGAGCTTCAAGCTCACAGCTCCGCCACCTGGCCCGAATCCCTCAACCTCCCAGACGGCCAGACCCCAGTCTCCCTTCCCTCGGTGATTAATAGGTAAGTTGTTGACTTGTAATTGTTGACTTGTTGTGCATTTTTATACGTTCTTAGTATTAATCTCAGATAATAATGTTGATCTTGCTCATGGTTGGTAAGAAATTCTGATACGTTCTTTACTTGGTTCTGTTACAAAGATGGGAAGTATGTTCGTGTTAATGGGCACCTGAATTCCTTTCAAGGAACAACTCATTTGGTTTCTTTCGCCTTTCTCTGTAGACTGTAAGGTATGAATCTAGTTTTCCTCTTTCCACTAACAAGTTCATCGAGGACTGCAATCTCCCGCAGGGTAATTGAACCGTGTATGTTCACAACATCATCCGTGGCAGAATGCACTCTAGGTGTTTAATAATATTGTTAGGAAAGCTTATTGAGTAATCTTGTTGACTTGTTGTGCATTCTGAGTTCATTTTGTGTTTGAATTTTGATATTCAGAAATCAGAATTGAATGTAATTGTCTTGCATTTTGATATTCAGAGTTGGTTAAGGAGCGAGTTGGTTTGGGGCAGAGAACTTGGATTGTGCATTTTTTAGAGCAAAGGGACGAAGGAGACAGCATACAACAAGCCGACAGGCAACAACAGTCAACATTCACTGAATTCTGAATATGTATGTTAGTGAATTTAGCAATAACAATTAGCCAAAATCTATATATGTATGTTAATAAGTTAATTGAATTGCAGTTTCAAGTTTGTATTGAATTGATGAGAATTGATCATTGAGTTTGATTGACCTAAAATTGATGAGAAATTGTTGTTTAGGAGGTTTATGACTTTATGTGTTCATTTTGTTGTTTTTTGTAGGACGAAAGCTTCTGCTGGCAGCCGTGGAGGAGGTAGTAAGAAGAAGAAAGCTAGTTCTCTACCTCCTCGAAGCTCTTCAAAAAAAGGGAAGGCTTCGACTAGTAGCACACCTTCCATTACTGCAAATACACCTGCAGCTGCAGCAAATCCACCTCCTGAGGCAAATCCTCCTCCATCTACAGCAAATCCTCCACCATTTGTTGAGGTACCTGGTGTACAGAAGAAAATTGAGAAGGGGAAGGGGAAGAAGTCAAAATCTAAGTGGTGGATTCCTTACACCCGTGTGCTAGTTGATGACTACCCATACGGCAAATGCAAACGGTGTGGAGGGATGATCAAAGCTCATTCAACCTTCAATGGGACTAGTGGTTTGAAGAGTCATCACCTAATGTGCGAGAGGAAGGCGAAGGAAGCTAGTGGTCAGTCAGTATTGAATTATCAACCTGGAAGTGGAGATGGTGAGGTAGGCTCTCTTACTCCATGGAAGTTTGATCAGAACAAATCTAGAAATGCATTAGCTATGATGATAATCTTGGATGAGCTTCCATTTAGATTTGTTGAGCGGGAGGGGTTTATGAGATTTATGGCAACAGCTCAGCCTTTGTTTGTGATGTCAGGAAGACAAACAATAAGATCTGATTGTTATGTCATTTTTCTGGAGAAGAAAGAGATATTGATTGAGTTTTTTTAACTCAAAGTGCAAAGGAAGAATATCTATCACTGCAGATACATGGACTAGTGATAATAACCTGAATTTTATGTGTGTGACTGCACATTTTATTGGAGATGATTGGAAGTTGCAGAAGAGGATTATTAGCTTTGTTCCCATTACTAGTCACACGGGGAAGGATATTGCAGATACTTTGGAGAAGTGTTTACATGAATGGAAAGTGAAGAGTTTGTTTTGCATGACAATGGATAATGCCAGTTCGAATGATGTTCTTGTTCAGTGCATGAGAATGAAGGGGTGGGGAACAGATTTGCTAGAAGGGAAGTATTTGCAGTATAGATGTGTGGCACATATCATCAATCTGGTTGTTTCTGATGGATTGAAGGAGGTTGGAGATGCTGTGGAGAGGGTAAGGGATTGCGTGAAATGGGTGAAGTCATCCCCAGCTCGGATGGCAAAGTTCAAGAAAGGCATTGAGTATCTGGAGATGGATGGGAAAAGACTGCTTTCTTTGGATGTTCCGACTAGGTGGAATTCCACTTATCTGATGTTGGATTCCGCGGAGAGGTTTGAGCAGGTTTTTACGTTCATGTATGCTAGTCCTACTGATTCTTCCTTTCGAGAGTATGTGGATTCAAAGAAGGGTCTTCCAACTGAAGATAATTGGAGCAGTATTAGGCGGCTCATGAAGTACCTGAAGTTCTTCTATGAGCTTACTCTTCGTGTATCAGGTATATGAACTAATAACTTTTAAATTTTAAAATTAAATTGAATGATGTCTAGTTATCTACAAATACCTATAAGCCAATGTCAATAAATGGCGTTTGCCACCTCAGCCTTTGCAACGCAGACCGCATGTTGGGGAGGGTTATATTTGTATATTTCCTCTCTGGCTCTTCCAAGCAACTGCCGCTCTTTTTCTTTTTTCCTTTCCTTTTTCTTATATTATTGTAAACTTACAATCCAATAAATTACGTACTCACCAACTCTAACTTTTCCCCCGCCTTTTTACAAGCCCACAACCACAAGGTTCACAACCCCTAGGGCCTAGGCGAGTCATTAAAGTTTAAAACAC